TGATGTTTTGAATTTTATTCATATTGTCAGGGGCTGGGGATGGCTCAGTGGGTAAAGGAGCTTGCTGTACAAACTTAAAAATGTAATTTGATCCCCCAAACCCGAATAAAGATGGAGGAAGGAAAGAACCAACTCCACAAAATTGTCCCCTGACCTCCACATGTTTGCCATGGCACATGTACCCTCACACCCCACAATAATGATTTTTAAAAATGAACATTAAGGGCTAGAGAGAAGGCTTAATGGTTAAGAACATTTGTTGCTCTTGCAAAGGACCAGGGTTCAATTCCCAGCACCTACATGGTGGTTCCATGGGATCAAATACCTTCTCTGCCCTCCTCAGACACCAAGCACTCATGTGGAGCACAGACATACATGCAGGCAAAACACTCATATACATAAAATTAAAACTACAGAACAGCCAGGCGGTGGTGGTGCGTGCCTTTATCCCAGCACTGGGAAGGCAGAGGCAGGCGGATCTCTGTGAGTTCTAGGACAGCCTGGTCTACATAGTAAAACTGTCTCAACAACAACAAGAACAACAAAAAATATTACAAATATATACCAAGCATGGTGACGAATGCCAAGCCTTCAAAATAAAATGAAATAAAAAATTTAAATAAAATTTAGAATGTACCCACATTGCATGTATCAGTGGTTCCTTTTTCAAAACAGACAAAAAATAGTTTTATTATTGCTGAGTATTATTCCATTGTATGGGTTTGTTGATCCATTCACCTGTTGATGGACGTTTGGATTGTTTCCAGTTTGGGCCTGTTATGTGTAAAGCTGATGTGAATTGTATAGTAGTATCCATTCCACGCTTTTTTTCTTTTTTCATAGTGGGTGGAATTCCTGGCAATGGGATCACCGAGTCCCATGTTTAACTCTACAAACTGAAGAGCTGTCTTTCCAAACACAAGGTTCATTTAGACTCCCCTTACATTCTTCCTGGAGAATCAGATGTGTTTCTTTGGTGTGAATGTTACACTCTCTTACCTCAGATCGCCCCAGTTCAAATCAAAAGGTAGACCAGTAAACGTCATTTTGGCTAGAGGAAAGGATGCTCAGTCTACAGGTGATCTTGCCTTCTGACCCCAGTGACTCTCGAGAACTTTCCAGAAAGTTTCAAGCTCAGTCCTTTGGATAGAGAACTGCTTTCAGGGAGGGCATGGCTGTCATTGGTTTGAGGCTGACCAGATTTCAGTCTGCCTGCATCCTCCTAGACAGATGCTGGAGAAGACCTCAGTGTGCTCTCAAGACCACATCAACTACAGGAGCGCAAGCCTGGGGCAATGAAAGCCAGGACCAGGCAGTGTGCAGCGACTGTGGCTGCTTGTATACATATAGGTACAATTAGAGATGCAGGGGTTTTGTTTTGTTTTGTTTGAGACAGTCTTGCTCTATAGTCCAGACTGGCCTAGAACTTGCAACCCTCCTGTTTCAACATCCAGAGTATAGGAATTACCCATTTGCACTACCACCTGGATCCCTGTACTTTGACCTTTCCCAACATCAGTCCCTCAGACCAACTTCGAGGGGAGGGGCTTTGAAAGATGCTTCTCTTCTGTTTGTCTGTTTTTCCTTAAATGTTATGTGTCTGGGTGTTCTGCCTGCATATATGTCTGTGCATCACATGTGTGCCTGGTGCCTGCCTGAGGAAGACAGAAGGCACTGGATCCCTAGAACTGGGGTTACAGATGCGAGTTGACATGTGGGTGCTGGGACCCAAACCCGGGTCCTCTGCAGGTTCTCTTAATACCTGAGCCATCTCTCTAGTCCCAAGCTGGATATAGCTCACTGGCAGAGTGCTTCCGTAGTCTGAATGAAGACCTGATTCAACCCCTAATAACACACACACACACACACACACACCAATGCCACTTGACCCTGTAGGAGGCTTGTCATAAGTTCAAGGCCAACTCAGGCTACCTGTGAGCCTGTCTTTTTAAAAAAAGATGAGCCAAAAAAGGAGGAAAAGGAGAAAAGGAAGGAAGGGAGGAAGGAATATAGGTAGATGATAGAAGAGAGAGAGAGACAGAGAGATAGAAGATAGATAGATAGATAGATAGATAGATAGATAGATAGATAGATAGATGAGCCAGGCATGGTGTCATATGCCTTTAATCCCAGCACTCAGGAGGCAGAGCCAGGTGGATCTCTGTGAGTTCGAGACCAGCCTGGTCTACAGAGTGAGTTCTAGGACAGTCAGGGACATGTAGAGATATCTTGTCTCAAAAAAAAAAAAAAAAAACAAAAAAGAAAGAAAGAAAATAGCCGGGCAGTGGTGGTGCACGCCTTTAATCCCAGCACTCGGGAGGCAGAGGCAGGTGGATCTCTGTGAGTTCGAGGCCAGCCTGGGCTACCAAGTGAGTTCCAGGACAGGCTCCTAAGCTACACAGAGAAACCCTGTCTAAAAAAAACAAAAAAAAGCGAAAAGAAAAAAAAAGAAAAATTTAAAAAGATGGAGTGTAGGTATTGAGATGACTCAGTTGATGACCTGAGTTCAATCCTTGGGACCCATGTGCTGCAAGGAGAGAAGATATTGGTGAAATTATTAAGGTCACTCCACGTAATTAAAAGGGAGGTTTATTTTGTGGGGTAACTCACAAGTGAAGGGATAGGTAACAGGGTCTGGGAAAGGTGTGGCACAGTCCGGCAGTGTTCTCCGGAGAACTCTGCTCGGTCTACCTCCTGTGTCCAGGGTCCAGGAACCAAGAGCGCTGGCGCATCCAGATCTCGGGTCTTCAGGGTCCTCTCTCGGCCCCGCCTTGTAGGTGTGACAGTTACCGAAGCCTCAATAGGGGTTGGAACTTCCAGATCAAAGCTGGAATGGCTATCCACTACAAGAAATAATTCCCAAAAGTGGTCAAGTTGTCCTGTGACTCCACGTGCATACTGTAGTGTGTGCGCGTGTGCATGCATGCGTGTACACACACACACACACACATACACACACACACCTGTAAGTATAAAAACAATTTTTTGGTTTTGGTTTTTCTTTTTTTTGAGACAGAGTTTCTCTGTAGCCCTGTCTGTCCTGAAACTCTCTGTAGACCAGGCTGGCCTCGAACTCACAGAGATCCGCCTGCTTCTGCCTCCTGAGTGCTGGGATTAAAGGCATGCCTGGCTCATCTATCTATCTATCTATCTATCTATCTATCTATCTATCTATCTATCTATCTATCTATCTTTTACCTATATTCCTTCCTTTTCTCCTTCTCGCTTTCCTCCTTTTTTGGCTCATCTTTTTTTAAAAAGACAGGCTCACAGGTAGCCTGAGCTGGCCTTGAACTTATGACAGCCTCCTACAGGGTCAAGTGGCATTTTAGCCACCACACCTGGCTAAAAACAAAAACTTAAAAGTGGTCAGGCGACAAGATGGCTCAGGGTACAAGCACTTGCCATGCAAGCCAGCCTGACCATCTGAGTTTGCACCCCAGAACCATTGAGGAAGAAGATAACCGACTCCCCAAAGTTGTCCTCTGATCTCCACATAGATGTGATGGCACACACACAATAATAATAATGATTTTAAAAGCCAAGGGGCTGGAGAGGTGGCTCAGTGGTTAAGCTCTTCTAGAGGCCTCAAGTTCTGCTTCCAGCACCAACCACCCCTCCCCCAGGGCACCCCACAACAGCTGTAACTCCACTCCAGGGGATCCTCTGGCTTCTGCAGGCACCTGCACACATGTGCACCCACCCATGAGAGCACACACACATACATACCTTTTAAGTCTTTTTCTGTTTTTGTCTTTTGTATTTCAAGACAAGGTTTCTCTGTGTAGCCCTGGCTGTCCTGGAACTCACTCTGTAGACCAGGCTGGCCTCAAACTCAGAGATCCTCCGAAATCTGCCTCCTAAGTGCTGGGATTAAAAGTGTGCGTCACCACCTGGCCTTAAAATGTTTTTTTTTAATCTTAGGAAAGGAAACATTCAAGCCCTTCCTCACCCCAATCTCAGAGCGCTACCTCCAACTCTAAGCTCTCTGCTCACTCAGATGGGCCCGTGTGGAGAAAGGCTGCATTCCCAGCGTGGGGTGAAGGGATGAGAGAGGCCGAGCCTTCACTGGAGTTAATGAGGGAGAGGGGTCGGGGCCTTCAGCTGCACATGAAGAAAGGCCCAGAAGTGCAGTGGTTTGGAAGGGTCTAGAACAAGGTAACAACCAGACGGACCAAGAAAGCTCCTCTTCCTCAGCTGGTGAGGACAGAGACTGGGGACACCAAGTGACCCCAGTGCCCGCTCCAGTGTGGAAAGCCAGCACCAGCAGACCCATGAGTCTGAGGGTTATATTCCCCCTCCTGAATGTACAGTCCCCTAAAATACATTTCCCATCCTCCATTTGCCTGTAAAAGTGGACATAGGAGCCCATTCTGGCTAAAGATGTGTCAGAAGAATGGATACAGGGCAGTCCTGGACTCTCCGAGACACCGTGTGGAGCAGGGTTTAGGTGAGGTGTCTACCGCATGGCAGTGCAGTCCTCTGCCCTCTTAGTAAGGAAGACACTAGCTTCCGGTTAACTAAGCCGTTGGTTGGCATTCTTGTTGCTACAGCCAAACCAAACAGTAAAGAATTCCAGAGCCAGCTGGGCATACGTACACCTTTAATCCCAGCACTAGGGAGGCAGAGGCAGGGGATCTGTGAGTTCGAGGCCAGCCTGGTCTACAAAGCAAGTTCCAGGACAGCCAGGGCCACACAGAGAAACTTTGTCTCACAAAACAAAAAGAAAGAAAGAATTCCAGAGCCAAAGGAGGTATCCAGGCAGGAGAGAGAGATGGGTTCTAACTCTAAGAACTTTCAGAAGGTGTAGAGTGTAGAAGCCAAGGTCAAGCATGAGGTACCCTGGGAGGAGGGGACGTAAGGCTGTGGAAAGGGGTCAAAGGCTCAGGAGCTGTGCAGGTTGGAAGGGGGCTACCGAAGAACCAGGGAACACCCGCCCCTTCCCCACCCAAACCCCTGACCCCACTTGGGAGCCGGCCTTCTGCCCAGGCCTGTACATTTTGTGTGCTAATCTGATACCGAATGGCGCGCTTACTGGACCGAAGCCCAGGAGAACGGGGTGAGCATCTGGCAGGGTCAGGGATACTCCAAGCATGCCGCCATCCCTCACACTGCCCTTTATCCACCCAGTGGATAGCTCAGAGCATCTGCCACGGTCCCAAGTGTTCTAGGTGCTGGGGGTGACACAGAAGGTAGCACCCCAGCGCCCACCGCTTGTATCGCTTACAATGCTGAGCTGACCAGACAAAATATCTAACGGCTGGTGTCGAGGAGGAAGGCAGGGAGGGAAAGGAAGTAGGAATTAAGTTCAAATACAGTAATACCACTGAGTCGGCCTCGTCGTGGCCAGGAATGATGATTTTATACAGCCATTTGTGGCTTGTTTCATTTCCAAAGTGCGGCCATGTGTCAGGTACAGCACCGTTATGAACTTCCTAGATACAAACACAGACATGCCCCTGTGTATGTCCACGTGTGACTGATACAGGGCTGTGGCTCCACAGCCCGATAGCCAGATGGAGGTGTCTGGGACACAGACACACAGGGGAGGACCCTCTCAGCCCAGCCCTTCTTCAAGCAGGGCCGGGAAGGGCCAGTGCTGCCAGTTCTGGGGATTGTCAGCAACACCTCCCAAGCTGCCCAGTGCTATCTGGGCAGGGGACTGGGTCCTGCAGATTACTGTAGCGTCTCCTCTGGCATCAGGAGCTAGCGGGGGGACAGGGCAGGGTGACCAGGGGCCCTCCACCTCCTGTCCCACCCTAGCCACCACTGTGGCACTTTTCCACCCCCTGCAGGCACACAGGGTGGGGTGGGGTGGGGTCTGGTGGGCTTTTTCCAGGCTGACGAAGCAGGACCGGCAGGGCTGGGCTGGGCCCATCACGGGCAGCAAGGAGAGATGAGACGTGACCCTGAGCCTCCACGGCTGAGGACAGGGCAGACAGCGGCTCTGCCAGAAGCCAGTGGCAGAGGTCAACAGTGCCCCACCTCACATCCTGTTTTCAGAATGTGGGGCTCCAGCACGTGCTATTTGCTTGGATTTTATCCAGGGTAGCGCCCCCACCCCCAGGCCTATTTCTAAGGGACCCTGCAGGAGGGTGGAAATGTCCAAGGGCACACCCAAGCTGGAGTTAACCGAAAGTTTTTCCAGGCTGGGATGGACCCCTGACCGAACCAATGGGAGAGAGGACATTTTCCATTAGGGACCCCCGTTAACCGACAGAAACCCACGCAGGTCTTTGTGACTGACTCGGGGAGAAACGGTACAGAGGATGTGAGGACTCAGAGACCTTCCCCTTCCAGGAAGAAGCACAGCCTCCCCCAGTGCTGGCCCCTCAGCCCCCACAAGACCCTGGGGAAGTCCAGCCCGGCTAGAGAGGACAGGTCCCTGGCGTGCTATGAGCACGCGCTCCAGAAAACTCTTCAGGCTGAGTGTGAGGCCAGGATCTGCCATTCCCTGACTGCACATCTGTGACTCGCTAAGTCTCTGCTTCCCCAGCTGTGAACAGTGCCCCCCACCTGAGTGCTGAAGACTGAACGACTGTGCTAGACCAGAGGGACAAAGAAAACATCTCTCCTCCTGCCCACTCAGGCCCCCTGTCACGGATCTTCCTAATTACGTTGGCAGCATATCCCCAATCCTAGATGTTGGGAGACACTCAATGGAGAACCCGTGGTGGAAGCTCTGACTGCTGCTGACCTTATGAAGCGCCATGCTCCTCACAGGCAATCTAGAAATTGCTGGAGAGACCAGAGCCTTTGCTTAACCACGGGAGCCGGGCACTCTCCACACCTTCCTGCTGTCCACACGGAGTTCTTCCAGGCTCGGGGCTTCGGGTTTCTGTAACATACTTGAGACCTGAGCATTAAGATGGGCAGCTGGGTGTGGTGGTACATACCTAATGTCCTGACACTTAGGAGGCTGAGGCAGGAGGATCAACTCTTCCAGGGCAGCCTGGCCTGTATAGTAGGGTCCAGGCCAGCTTGAACTACACAGTGAGATTCTGTCTCAGAGCAAACAAAAAAGGATGAACCTTGGAGCTTAGCTGGCTCAGGTGACCAACCCAGAGCTCCTGACCCAAACAACCCAAATGGCTCATCCATGGTGGAGTGTGGTAGAGCCAGAGCCAAAAACCATCAGATGTTTGTTGCCTCCCCAAAACTGAGATATCTGCCTCTGGTTCCTTCAAAAGGGGTCAGTCAGTTGTGTGGACCTAGTCCTCAATTTGGGGAGTCTGTCGGGGGAAAGGTTCCATGATTCCCCTGGCCCCCTCAATAAAAGGTGTGGTTCTAGTTAACCTCAGTCCATCACCAGATGACTATGAGATGGGCATGGGGGGGGGCGGTGAAGGCTGAAAGGGAGGGTTGGAAGAACCCAGCAAGGGGTGTGGCCCTGGGTCTGTTCCCAGGGTGGAGCCAGACAGCAGGGTCACCCTGTCCCTTTAAGAGAAGGGGGAGAGCTAGCCCCTCTCAGCCATCCTGTCCTGTCATCCATCCCAGCCAAATCCAAAAAGGAAAATGAAAGAGGGACCAAGAGGAACAGGTCCCAGCTGTCTCCCAAGGTCCTACGCTCAGCTCTAAGCACAGGCCCCAGGGTAAGTGGGGTCGGAGGATCGAGAGGCCACCAAGGGTCTACAGGGACATGGTGTGTTCCGTGTGTCAGCGGAGGTTTACAGGAGATGCTTGACAACCGCTGTCAGCGAGGAGGTGCGAGGGGGCTGTTCCCATTCCCCTTGGCCGGAGGTAGGAGAGGAAAGGGAGGATCAGGCGCGGGGAGATTCCTAAGAACAGGCTTCTTGTGTCAGCCTCCAACGCTGAAAGGAGTTCTCACGGTGAGGAGGGAGAGAAAGGAGCCGGTGGGGGCTCGCCCGGCCCGGCCCTCCCCTTGCTCCCAGGAGTCTCAAATGGAAGGAGGCATTCCGGACTCCAGCAGCCGCTCTCGCTCCTAGAAATCATCCTGGCGCCAAGAGCCAGGGGGGCGGGGGCGGGGTGAGGGGCTGGCCCTGCAGAAGAGCCTAGAATCTGAGAGATCATAGGGTCCAGCCAAGCAGGCCCGGGCGGGGTGGGGAGGAAGCCCTCCTCAACACCTCTCTATGCCCAGATGAAGGGATGGCATAGCCGAGGATGGACTCACCTACTATCCTCACACTCGGATATTAACTCATTGAACCCCACAAAATCTCTGACCCCGGGTGCCCTCCAAGGTTAGAGATTGCGGCGGGCGTGGAGGGGGGGGAGGCAGGGGTCCAGTCCACCCCGGCCCCTGACTACCCCTCTCCCTTGTCCCCAGCGTCATGGGAGAGTGGGCGTTCCTAGGCTCCCTGCTGGACGCCGTGCAGCTGCAGTCGCCGCTCGTGGGTCGCCTCTGGCTGGTGATCATGCTGATCTTCCGCATCCTGGTGCTGGCCACGGTGGGAGGTGCCGTGTTCGAGGACGAGCAGGAGGAGTTCGTGTGTAACACGCTGCAGCCGGGCTGCCGCCAGACCTGCTACGACCGCGCCTTCCCGGTGTCCCACTACCGCTTCTGGCTCTTCCACATCTTGCTGTTGTCGGCGCCGCCGGTGCTGTTCGTCATCTACTCCATGCACCAGGCCAGCAAGGAGGCGGGAGGCGCGCAGCCGGCCCCGGCGTGCACGCGCGGGCGCCCCGAGGCCCCGTGCGCCCCGTGCTCCCTGCGCGCCCGCCGCGCGCGCCGCTGCTACCTGCTGAGCGTGGCTCTGCGCCTGCTCGCCGAGCTGGCCTTCCTGGGGGGCCAGGCGCTGCTCTACGGCTTCCGCGTGGCCCCGCACTACGCGTGCGCCGGCCCGCCTTGCCCGCACACCGTCGACTGCTTCGTGAGCCGGCCCACCGAGAAGACGGTCTTCGTGGTCTTCTACTTCGCCGTGGGGCTGCTCTCGGCGCTGCTCAGCGTGGCCGAGCTGGGCCACCTGCTCTGGAAGGGTCGCCAGCGCGCCAAGCTGCCCCCGGCCCCGGCCCCGGCCGCCCTGCCCTCGTCCCGAGCCGACCCCGACCCCTTCGGCCCGCCCGCCTACGCTCACCGCGCACCGGCCGGCGACAGCGAGGGCGAGGGCGGCAGCGGTCACAGCAAGGCGTCGCTGGCCACCGTGCGGCAGGACCTGGCCATCTAGCGGCGAGGTCCCAGGCCGAACCTTCAGCACCGGGGCGGGGGTCGGTGGAGGCAGAAGCGAGAAGTGGCTTCTGCGTAGGACCCTGCCTGAGCTGAAGATGAGCAGAGGGGACCTCCCGCCCCACCCGCCAGCAGAAGATGAGGGACCGCCGGGCTTCGGGTCGGGGTGGCGTCGCACTTCCTAGCGCTGGTTGCAGCAGCGTGCTGGGGGGTGCTTTGCATCAGGGAGGCTCCTCTGTGCTGTGTTCCCAGCCGGAAAGGGAGGATGCCAGGAGCCTGGAGAGGAAGCGGACGGGCCAAGGGCAGTGGGTGACCTGATGGTTGTATCGAGGGGTGAAATCAGCAGTGATGGCAGCATTCCCAGGTCCCCTGCTTGTTCAGAGAAGCTCACTTCTCTGTGGGCTCTCTGTGCACACATACATGCACACCTGGATACGCTCGTGCACATTAAACCTCTGTGGGCTGTGTGTGTATGCTTGCATGTGTACCCCCCTCTGAGGGGTCCACACATGCATGTGCACACAAGTGTACACCTTCCAAGTAAGAGGAGGTACAGACCTGTGTTCGTGCATGTGTGCACAGACATGCCCATGGATGTCCTTGTGGGCTCTGTGCACGTGCATGGATGCATGCATCCTGCGTAAGCTCTGTGTACACACCTGTACACACACATTCTGTGTGTGCATCTGCTAACACTGTCATTCACTACCAGAACCCAATGCTAGTGGTAGCCATAATGGCTTCCTCCCTACTGACCTAACCCTGCCGCCTGTGAGGGCAGCGGTGTTCCCCCACAGGAACGGAGTGGGAGGAGAGTCGGAAGATAAAGACAGGCAGTGTGTTCTTTTGGCTTACATCTTCTCTCTTCCCACCCGCCATACTCTGTAAACAAACATGGTTGAGGCCTTTCCATCCTTAGGGAAAGCTGCCCCTGAGACTGATAGGTTCCTAGGTCCCCTTTCCCTTACAACTAGCCATTCTTCTAGCACAGACTTTGGAAGAGTAGCCACATGGCTACTTCACCCCCCTCCTTTTTTCTTAAAGATTTAATTTAGTTTTATGTTCATTGGTGTAAGGGTGCTGGATCCCCTGGAACTGGAGTTCCGGACAGCTGTGAGCTGCCATGTGGGTGCTGGGAATTGAACCCGGGTCCTCCGGAAGAGCAGCCAGTGCTCTAAACTGCTGAGCCGTCTCTCCAGTCCATACCTCATCCCTTTCTGTCCTTACCTCACCCGCCTTCCTCCTTCATCGCCTGGGTGGCCACTCTGAATTCACCAGGACCAAGGGATCAATCCTGACCTCAGGCTCTGTCAGATCTGTTGCCCAGGCCCTGCACACCCCAAATTGCTTTCCCTCTGTCCTTCATGTACCCATCCCCCTCCTGAGGGCTTTCTTCCAAGCCTTACTTAGCCCTTGGGAGGTCCCTGTCCTTGGGGTACAACCAGCCCTTCCCCCAGGCTTCCTGCACTGCCTTGGCGAGGCCTCCACCGCCGCCATCTGTCACACCAGGCTAAAGTTTCTGCTCCTCACAAACACCGTGCCCACTTCTGATGCCAGTTTTAGACATGCCCTCCGGTACAGTCTCACTCTCCGAAGCTCTGACCCCCGCTGCCTGCCTTTGCCTTTGGTCTCATTGGAAGAAAACAAGCGCACCCCCCCCCCAGCAGGGGCTTTCCTTGCCCTCAGCTGGAGTCAGGCACCCCATCCCCCACCGTTCTGCTGCATGGTTGCACTGTCTCCTGGGCACGGCATATAGTAGATATTTGGGGAGAGAAAATGAAGGGTTGTCAGGTGACCATCACCCCGCTCATGTCCACGATCCCGGTGGACATGTCTGGCTACAGCCTGGACCCCTCCACACAAGCATAGATGTGGGCGTCCAGCCGTTTTCCAAAGATAAGTCCCTCAGCCAATACTGGTTCAAGGTCAGCGTCATTCAGTACAATTGTACGTGAGGCACAATGTTAATTTTTTTTTGTTTGGTTTTGGTTTTCAAGACAGAGTCTCTCTACATAGGCCAGGCTGTCCTGGAACCCACGAAGATCTGCCTGCCTCTGTCTCCCAAGTGCTGGGATGAAAGGCCTGTGCCACTGCGTCCAATTTACAATGTAATTCGCATTTTCCTTTAGCCATTAAAAAAAGCGAATGGAAAGAGCCGAGACTGATGTCAGTGGTAGTTTCTTTAAACGGCTTTACCCCAAACCGCTCCATTTCCACGCGTCGTCGGTGTTCAGAAGCATCACAGAGAGGCGTCCCGTTCTTCCTCTCACACGGATCTTGTGTGAACTTTACACGCTCAAACCAGCCCATCCAGCACACGTGGCTTAGTGGCGGCCACACGCAGCACAGATCCAGATGTTGGGCTGCAGCACTGATCCAGATGTTGGGCTATTGGGCTGCTGCAACTCTGGGGGGAAAGACATCAAAAAAAAAAAAAAGATAAGGGGAGAGTGATGTCCCTGAGGAGGTGACCCTTCAGGGGTCAGTCACGAAGCTGTTTCCGAGAAAAGCCTTGAGGTGGCAAGTGCCAGAGCCCTGAGGTGGAGACGTGCCAGGGCCACCAAAGAGACTAATGTGGCTGGAGTGGCGAGCAGTGGCTGTGTGGTGGGGGTAACCAGCGACCTAGAACCAGTTCTGCCTTCCTTAGTTGTTCCGCTCCACGGCTGGCCCTACCACCCGGTGGGGCCACCTCCACCAGCTGCCGTCCCCCGCCATCTTCAGCTCCTCAGTCACCTGTGTCACCGGCTCCCCTGTGGCCCTGCAGAAGGCGCCCAGGGTCAGCTGTGCCTAGAGCTCCCTCCCCCACAGCCTCTGTTCAGGCCCTGCTAGCTCCCTCTAAAGACCTGTCTTGCCAGCTTAAATCCCCCTTCCCTTGCCTGGGCTACACAGCAAAACCAACATAGAACATAGCTGTTAACCATTGTGAGGCTCAGGACAAACTCTCACAGGAAAAAAAAAATCCCACCCAAAATGTCACTACTAGACCTAGGTTACATGGAGAGACAATGTCTCAAAAAAAAACTAAGGCCAGGAGGTAGTGACACGTGCCTTTAATCCCAGCACTCAGTGGGCAGACGCAGGAGGATCTCTGTGAGTTCCAGGACAGCCAGGACTGTTTCACAGAGAAACCCTGTCTCAAAAAACAACAACAAATTTAAAAGTCCAGAGGTGGTGATGCACACCTTTAGTCCCAGAACTTGGGAGACACAGTGGAGCTCTGTGAGGAGAGTCTAAACCAGTCAGGACTACGTCGAGAAATCTGTCTCAAAAAAAGAAAGAAAAAAAAATATCATTGGTGCCACAGCTTGAGAAACTGTTTCACAGAGATGAACTGTGGATCAGTAAAGACAGTCCATGACCAGCATTTCTCCACAGGGAAGATACTCTGTAGTTCCTCATCAATATAGGGGTCTCTTCCAGATTGTCATGGTGATGACATCCTGTTAGCATTTTGTAGAAAGGGACTAGGAACCTCAAGATCAATCATCTCGCAGTTTAAAAAAAAAAGTCGCAAGTAAGTGCTGGGGAGATGGTGTAGTCTCTGGTAAAGCGTTTGGCATGTGGGCAGAAGAATCTGCATTCAGATCCTCAGCATCCACCTAAGCATGCTGGGCCCACTGGTGCACGCCTGCAATCCCCGTGCTGGGATACAGAGGCAGGGGGATTCCTGTGGCTTGCTGGCCAGCCTGTCTAGCCACATTTGTGAGTTTCAGGCTCAGTGAGAGAGAGACCCAGCCGAAAAGATAAGGTAGACTCAAGTCAATCCAGAAAAAATCCCAGCATGGGTTGGGGAGGGGGGCTCACCAAGTCCCACCCCTAGCTGAGAGGTTCAGTTTGCTGGAGTGCTTGAGGAGTGCCTAGCTCCTTGGAGAGGGAGTGAGTTTTCTTCAGGGATGCTCCAGCAGGTGGTCCTACACCCATGCTCATCCAGGCAGGACAAAGTAAACTCAGTGGGTTTTAAAAAGAACACATGAAGTTGAGGGAGGGGTGCTGGGGTGGGGTAAGGGAAGGAGCTGAAAGGGGTGGGAATGGGGTGGATTTTATCAAAATTCATTATATGCAAGTATGAAGTTCTCTCTTTTTTGTTGTTTTGTTTTGTGAGACAGTTGTTTCTCTGTGTAGCCCTGGCTGTTCTAGAACTCACTCTGTAGACCAGGCTGACCTCAAACTCAGAGATCCACCTGCCTCTGCCTCAGCCTCCCGAGTGCTGGGATCAAAGGCAAAGGCGTGTGCCACCATCGCCTAGCTGCAAGTATGAAATTCTCAAACAAAAAATCGAGGTAGAAAGAAGCTGAAGACTTCAAATAGACACAAAATTGTCAGACAAAGCTTTAAAAATATTTTGTTACAGGATATCTAAGTGTCCACAATATGAATGTGGAGGCCAGAGGACAACTTGTGGAAGTCAGTTCTCTCCTCCCGTCACGTGGGTCCTGGGGCTCACACTCAGGTTGCCCGCATGGTGGCAAGCTCCTTTCCTGGTTCCACCATCTCACCAGCCATCTCAGCACATACGACGTTTGGAATGTCCTGTTGACATTTACACAGTGGAGAACCACTTTGAGCGGCTGGGGAGATGGCCGGGTAGTTCAGGATGCATCGTTCTTCCAGAGGGCTCAAGCTCTGTTCCCAGTACCCACGTCAGGAGTCACAGCTGCACCTAACCCCGTCCCCAGGGGACCCGCCATCTTCTAACTTCTGGAGGTATCTGCATACACAAAGACACACCGACACATAAATAAAAATAAAAAGTGTAACATTGTCAGTTTACCTATTTTGTGTGTGAAACAATGTTCTGTTTTATTTTTTGGACGTTGATATGTCAGTTTTTACATCTACCCACACTCTAATTTTCCTGGGTTTTGTTTGTTTTGTGTTGGGGACAGAGAGATTCCAGGACCAATATATGCTGGACAAGTACTCTGGCACTGTTAATGCAGCCCCCTCCCTGGGTTTCTTCTCTTAAAGTATTTATTAATGTACTGAACTTGCCCTTCTCTTTGTTCCTGCTCTACATTGCCATGTGACAATAACCTAGTTTTTGGTTTTTAGGGCAAAGTTTTACTATATAGCCCAGGCTAGCCTGGAACTTGCTGTGTTTGTAGGCTAGGCTGACCTTGAACTTGGGGGTAATTCTCCTGCCTCTGCCTCCCAGGTGCATATATTGGTTCTTGGGAGCCTATGTACAAGTATGTTACATTTATTCAACTAAGTAACCATGTTAGAAAATTACTAGGGAAGAGGTGTGGGCCAAGGCCCCGCTCTGAGACAGGGAGATAAGTGAGCAGCTGCTGCCACCTAGCGGCTGCCCTAGAAGTGGCTAGGGCCTCCAGGGAAAGCTCCCTTTGACTCTCCCTTGCTAAGGCTGGGGAGGGAGCGGGTGGGAACCCACCTCCAAGCCCCATCACCTTGGGGTATGTGATGCTTCTGGAGCCTCAGGAACCCAGTCAAGAACCCTGGGTTAAGGAGAAACCCTGAGTGCGGATCCCCCTCCCCCCACTGCCACTGTGTGACCCTGGGCAAGGACAGCGGCCTCTCGGGTGAGATGTACAGCCGTAAGGAACGGAAAGCTCACACCCCAAGCTCCTCGGCTGCCTATCAGAGCCTCAAAAGGGGGCAGGACAGTCCTTTCTGGCTCACACAGGCTCCTCACTCTCCTGTTGTTAGGGCACCAGGAGCTCAGCTCCAAGACTGTGTGAACATCGAGTTCGTAACCAGTCTTCTGTCGCTGGGTAACTTCAGTGTCTAGGGGCTCTGAGGCTTCCTTTCTCAGACTGTGGAAGGAACCATTTCTCCCCCTGCTCCCCTCCCCGGTCAGAGTCCTCTGCTGTGGATGAGATTCTCCCTGGCCCCAGTTTGAGGGCCTATCTCAGATCTCAGGGTCTCTAGAGACCTGGACCCTGTCACAGGGCAACTTAGACACTAGCCAAGCCCTTGGCACTTGAAAATTTGTGCTTAGCCCTTGGGGCCCAGAGCCTATGGAAAGCCCCCCATCTCGAGTCCCCTGCCCAGACAGGGAGAGGAGAGGGTGGAGGCAGAGAGGCAGAGGCATCGTAGAATAAATAGAACTTTATTCTTTCTCCAGTAGATCTCAGTGGAAACCCAGCAGTAACAGGTACACCAGTGGGCTCCGGGGTGAGACCCCACCCAGGCAGGAGGGCAAGGTAAAGCCTGCTCCCCCAGCCCAGGGGTGTAGGGGGAGGGAGGGGACCCCCTGGAGTCCCGTCCTGCGGGGCAAGGAGGGGGCACAGGTGAGGGGCAAGAGGGGTTGTGGGTAGGCCAGGGAAATGAAGGAACTCAGGCCAAGTGTGTGTGTGTGTGTGTGTGTGTGTGTGTGTGTGTGTGTGTGTGTGTGTTGGAGGGCCCCATGGGGTGCTGGTGCTATGAGGCTGGAGGCTGGGGTAACCTGGACCCCTCAGCCAGCCCCTTCACAGTGGGGCTGGCGCTTAGATGAAGTGAGCTCTGGTGGGCAGTGATGAGTAACACCCTACTCATCCAAAGGGCCCCATCGTTACCCTTCCCCTGCTTCTTGGTGGGCAGAGGCAGGAGCCAAAAGCCAGGATCCCCTCCTCCCAGGGGTAGCTGCCCAAGATGCCCACACCCAGTGGCTGGGCAGAGGGAGGGGAGCTGCTCCCTGCACAGGGAGAAGGCGGCGGCCTTGGAAAGTTAGTATTTCACAGTATTAGAGAAAACTGAGGTGGAAAGGCTGGGGGGTCGGGAGCATCCACCGGACAAGGGAAGAAGGGGAGCCCTTCAGAACCCTGCCCATCCCCAGACCCACCCCTTCAGCTCTAGATCCAGCTCCCCCAATACACAGCACAAATTCCTTCAGTATAAATGTGCTTAAAATGAAAATTCTTATTAAAAAAAATCAAAACAAAAAAATTAAAATAAAAACAAAACCAGCGAGAATTAATATCTGGGTTGGTACGCAGGATATGTACAGGGGGTCTCCCCCACCCTGGACACCCCCCCTGTCACCATCTGAAGCAGGGGCAGGTTCCCCAACTGGGGAGCGATGGCTTGAGTTTGGAGGACAGGGAGCCAGGTCCCGGCGGCGTTTGCTGGTGATGAAGACGTGGCGTGGCAGGTGCGCAGGGGCTCAGGCCCAGGTCCTCACATGGCTCAACACCTGGCCCCCGATGCCAGCCCCGGCTGC